GAATGAAAGAAAACTCAACCTTTCTGTAAGCTTTTGTTAAAATTACAATTTTAAACATATTTTTTAAAATAAGTATATCTACAAAGGGAGGAATATAACCCTCTGTACAATCAGTGATAAATTAAAAGGGCAGCATTTGCCCTTAAAACAAAGGTAGAAGGCAGGAAGGGGCAGAAAAAAAGGGATGAACTGAAGCCAGAAGCATAGGGAGGCGTGGGAAGAGTGTTATTAACACACTGAGGGGACTGTGACTAATACCATAAGATGAAATATGTACAAATCCTTGAACGGAAAACTAATTTATTATATAAACTTTAATCCAGGCCACAATAAAATAAAGCACTTGCACTGTCTTGTAAAGGGGTCTCTAAGAGTCCCCTGCACAATCTCCAGCCAAGCGTCCGACCCCAGGAAAGAGACTTTTTTCACACCCAGCAGAAATGGATTCAGGAACAGATTTCTTACTCTCTTATAAAGAAAAAAAGCCTTGGTGTCCTTGTGTTCTGGCCTGCAGGGTCTTATGACGCTCACGAGGCTTCTGTCTGCAGAGGGACGGAAACAGAAAAGACGTCAGCACCCACAGGGTCGGTCCACTGCTGGGTGGTAACTCTAACTAGAATTTCCCACAAAATCTACACTGCCAAGGGTACTCAGATTGCTAATCTCATTAGATCCCAATCATGTTCCTGAAGTGAACTCTTGATGGGCTTCCACTGCTTGATCCAGAGAAGCTACAAAGCGGGGAAGCACAAGCTTTGCAGACAGACAGGGTTTGAACCCAGGACCTACTCCAAACATGTGTGACTCCAGGTAAATTATTACCTAAAGTGGCTCTACCCTCAACATGTGTTTCCCGCCTGTCAAAAGCATTCGCTGATACTGGCCACCAGAGACATCCAATGAGGCAGCACGGGAGCAAGCCCCGGTATGGCCCACAGCGGGTGGTCCCTGTTAATCAATGTTCTTCTTTTCAAAGTCAAGAAATCAGGTCTAAATCTCTTTCAGAAGATGATAAAACATATCCCCTTTCTTATTCCTACTCAAGTGTATTTCAGAATCTTGGGGGGGGGGAAATAAATCCAAACCCCACAAAAACACCACCAGTCTATGAGAAATGTTTTTGCCTCTGTCTCCCGAGATGCTGTGAGTTTTCTTTCTCAAAAGCTTCTTCTCCATTTCAAATTCCTCAATAGCCTTCAAAAACCAAAAAGAGATGGGGTATTAGGAATTAGTGCAATTCCGCAAGAGTGGAAGGGGACAGGGACTAGCCATTACTCTGGGCGGTACTCAAACAACAGTTGTCATCTAGTCCAAGGCCCTTTCCTTGACTCACATAACAAAAATGGAGGGAGTGGGCCAAATATAAACACAAAAAAATGGCACCTGACCCTTGGACTCGGTATTGGGAAGAGGGAGTGGTGAAGACTGTGGCAAACTCCAGCTGATGACAGCCGTGTGGGTGTGAAGACCCAGCCAGATGCTGCTGGGCCCAGTGGGTGCAGAGCAAATCAAACACGTTGTCGCTAGATACCACTGCGTTCACTACTGTTCAGAGTCACCCCACGGAAACCGGGCTTTTCTCTGTCCTGTCCTGCACCATCCTCACCCTCTCGGCTGTGCTCAGGCCCACAGCTGCAACCACTATGTCATCAATTAGTCTAGTTGGGGGCATTACCCTCTTTGACTGACCCCCCGTTTTTCCCAGCATGATGTTCTTTTCCAAGGCTGGTGTCCCCTGACAATATACCCAAAGCAGAGGAGGAAGCTTCATCGTCTTTGCCTGGTTGCACTTTCTCCAAGGCACATTCATTTGTTCTTTCGGCAGTGGCAGTCACCGCACATCTAATTCTCTTAGTCAACATAACAATTCAAAGGCATCAATTCTTCTTGGTTCTTTTCTATTCATCGCCCAACTTTTATATGCACACAAAGAAACTGAAAATACTGTGGCTTGTGTCAAGTGCACCTCAGTCTTGAAACTGACATCTTGGCTCATTAGCACTTTAAAGAGCTCCTTAACAGCAGATTTGCTCAATGCAACATGCCTTTTTAATTTCTTGACCACTGCTAACATGGGTATTAATTGTGGGTACCATTAAATCATTGAAAATTTCCATTTTTCTCCCTTCTATCTATCATGATGATGTCTATTGGTCCAGTGGTAAAGATTTCTGCATTTGTGGTGTTGAGATGTAACCCACATTGAAGACTAATCTTTGGTATTTTATAGTTCCTTTCACTTACTGCAAGCAAGATTGTGTCATCTAATAATCCAGATTGTTGATGAATTTTCCTGCCATCCTGATGTCAACTCTTTTTCACATCATTCAGCTTCTCCAATTATTAACTCAGCACGCAGACTGAACAGTCTTGGAGAAAGTCTACAACCCTGGCTCAAACTTTTCCCGATTTTAAACCATGCAGTATTCCCTTGTTCTGTTAGCATGGCTTCTTACTATTCTATGAATGGATTTTGCATGAGCATGTTTTTAGAATTCCCATTATTTCCAATGTTATTCATAATTTATTATGATCCACACAGTGCAATGCTTTTTGTCTAATCAATAAAACATAAGTAGACATCTTTCTGGTATTCTCCGCTCAATGGTATCCCTTGTTCCACGACCTCTTCTGAATCCTGCTTCAATTTCTGGTAGAACCCTGTTGATTTCTGCTCCAGGGATTTTTAAATAATTTTCTATAAGGTTTTACTTTTATGTGATATTGATATTGTTCAATAATTTCTGCACTTTGCTGAATCACGCTTTTTTAAGAGTTAATAATGAAGTGCTTTATTAATAACAAAAAATCTCACAAAAACAAATAATGCCCTAAAAAGATTTGAATATTGGCAAGCTTTGGTGGCAAGAAGCTGCACTGTAATCCCAGAGGTGCATGGTTCAAATCCACCAGATGCTCTGCTGGAGAAGGAGGGACAATCTCCTCCTGTACTAGTCAGATCTGATTTGATGATACACACACACAAAACAACTTTTAAAAAAATTAAAAATTTAAAAAGCTTTAAATATTGCCATCGCAACAAATAGGTGGCAACTCAACACCCAGGGTAGAAAGAATGCTTGAAGGAGAGACTGCAACAGATTCACCTCGCATGGCGGAGGGGGCATCTTCACAGCAGAGCGAGTGAGGCACGAGCCTTTCCTCTCTCTTCCAGCTGCTGGCCTGCATTTTCCCCTCACTGGTGCCAAATACTGATCTCTTCGAGCCAGCTGGTTGGGTCTTTATCTTCAGAATTCCATGGCATAGGCTCGTGAGCACAGCCAGGGCTGCCCCTGTTTACTGAGCTACCTCAGTTGGTACTCCCCCATCGGTTCTTGGAACCTTATTTTTTGCCAGTGCTTTCAGTGCCGTCTGCACTTCCCCGGGTAGTACCATTGGCCCTTTATCATTCACTGCAGCCTCAAATGATTCCAAGTCAACCAATTCTTTGTGGTGCAGTGACTCAGGATCCCTCTCATCTTCGTGTGATGCTTCTCACATCATTCGGTACTCTGCCCATCAAGTCCTTCGGTATTTTAACTCGAAGCTCGACTCTGTTCCTCAGTTATGTAAGCTTGAGAGAAAGGCTCCGTGTCCCCTTCTCCTTCAGTTTTCTAACTCCAGGTCTTTGGACATTGTGCCGTGCCACTGTACTTTGTCTTGTCAAGCTGCCTCTGGAAATCTTAGGGTCGGTTCTCTTAACTCATCATTTCTGCCTTTTTCTTTAGCTTTCCTATACTAAAGGGCAAGTTTCAGACTCTTGTCTGACACCCATTTTGGTCTTTTCTTCCTCCCGTCTTTGTAACAGCCTTTTGCTTTCTTCACAGATGCTGTTGCTGAAGATGGATGGGTGAGGTCTTTGATGAACTCATATGGTCTTTGGATGGTCAGTATTAAATGCATCAAATATGTTCCTTACATGGTTTTATAATTCAGGTGGAATAAACCTGAGGTCATATTTTGGCGCAAAAGAATTTACTTTAGCTTCAATTTGAACTTGCATATAACTAATTGATTATGTGTTTAGTAGAGGGCCCAGCCTTGTCTTGGCCACTAATTGACCTCTTCTACCCTCTCTTTCCACAGATGTACGCATTTAAATTCCTGCATATTCCAGCAGGTGAAGTTCATGAATATAGTCTCCATTTTTGGTTTGTTTGGGGTTTTTTTAGAAAAAAAAAGTATGTGCCATAAACACATTATTTATTCCATCATGTGACCTCCACCTTCATTTCTGTCACCACGGCCTTAATTTTAAAATTCCTATTTTTCTTCTTTGTTTCCAACTTTTGCATTCCAGTCACCAATTATTATGAATACACTTTGACTGCATGTTCAATCTGCAGATCAATCTCAGGCTGCACAAATCAGTAAAAATCTTCAACTTCTTCATCTTTGGGGTGTGTATTTGAATAACAGTTGTGGGGCTCTGGTGGCTCCCCAGGCTCCACGCCAGTGCTCTTCCAGTTTGTGCGAGTTGTGCTACAGGGTTGTACTTGTCGTCATTGCGTACCGTCGAGTGGGAAGTGACTCAAAGCTGACCCTCTGGTGGCTTTTCAGAGGCAGTTAATTGAATGGGAGGAGATGTGCAGCAATCTCGAAGTTCAAGTCCATGAGGTGCTTCACAGGAGAAGGATGTGCAAACTCCTCCCATGCGATTAACTGTCTCAGAAAACCTGCCAGAGGGTCAGCTGTGGGTCGGTTCTGACTTGATGGCACAGAGATGTACTACTACCAGTTTAATCTTTGAAATGCCTGTCTCCCAACAACAGATGGGCAGTGAGTTACTAGAAGGTTGTGTCTGCTGTTTTGAGCTTTTTTTTATACATGTCAATCAGAGTTAACTTTGGAGTATAAATTGTGCAACTGTGCTTTCAAGTAAGTGTAAGGAACCCGGGACACTATGTTATCTTGGGGGCCCTAGAGGAGGAGCAAGTTTGCTCCACTAGACCAAATGGCCCCCCTTCCTCCCCAGAATCCCTGTCAGCCCCATAACTCACCAGGAGGTTGGCCAGCGGGTTGAGACTCAGATCTCCATCAGCAATCCTTCGGTTCACCTGGTCCATGGTGCCAATAATACATGCTTGGAGACGGGCCAGCTAAGGGAACTCACTGGATGGCGATTATGCAGAGCAGGGAGGTTATCTGCCTGCCCAGAAGAGCAGGGGTTTGCAATACTTCCTTTTCAAGCCCATTTCCTTTGTTCGCAATGTGTACATTACTAATTAAATGTAACCATAAAACACCCTTCTCCTGTGGCACAACCATTAAGCACTTCTTGTTGTTGTTGTTATGTGCTGTCAAGTCACCTGCGACTCATAGCCACCCTGTGTACATGTAACCATAAAACACCCTTCTCCTGTGGCACAACCATTAAGCACTTCTTGTTGTTGTTGTTATGTGCCGTCAAGTCATTTGCGACTCATAGCGACCCTATGCACAACAGCCCTAAACCCTGCTCTATCCTGCGCCAACCGCACTGCTTCTGACACACCCATCCCGATTACCCCAGGCACTGAATCAATCCACCTCATAGAGGGTCTTCCCCTCCTGCGCTGTCCCTCCACCCTCCCAAGCATGATGTTCCTCTCCAAGGACCCGTCCCTCCTGGCAACATGTCCAAAGTATGTCAGATGAAGCCCCAGAATCCTTGCCTCCAAGGAGTAGCTTGGTTTAATCCTCTCCAAGAAGAATGTTTGTTTTCCTGGCAGTCCAGGGTACATTCAGTACTCTTCTCCAGCACCACAGCTCAAAAGCATCCACTCTCCTTCTGTCCTCCCTAGTCATTGTCCAACTCTCTGATGCATAACAAGCAATTGCAAAGACCATGGCCTGTATCAGGCGCACCTTAGTCTCCAGAGAGACACTGTTGCTCCTGAGTACTTTAGAGAGGTCCCTAACAGCAGACTTTCCTATCGTGATACGCTTTTTGATTTCCTGACTGCTGGTGCCAAGAGTGTTGACTGTGGAGCCGAGCAAATTGAAGCTGTGAACAATCTCAATCTCTTCGCCATCCATCCTGACGCTGCCAATTGGTCCAGTGGTGAGAATCTTTGTCTTCTTGACATTGAGCCTCAGTCCACACTGAAGGCTGCAGTGTAAGCACTTAGCTGCTAATTATTGGGAGTTGGAGCCCACCTACGGGTTCCTCAGGAGAAAGCCCGAGTGATCTGTTCTCATGAAGACTTCAGGCAAAACATTTACCCCCCCCAGGACAATGACATTACCCCCCAGGGCAAGGTCAACCTGCGACATGGGGTCTTTATGAACTGAAATTGTCACAATGGCAAATCGGTAAAAGGTAAAATCTATATGGAGTGGAAACCTGTCAGGGAAGGAAAATGCAAATATTTTTTGCGACTAGAGAGTGATCTAAAAGTGATGAGATTATTTGTATCCTGTCAAAGGCAGAAAACCAGTGAGGCCCAGGAAGGCAAGGCAATCTCAGCGAGTTCTAGCTCTCACACATTTCACTGTATTTAAAAGGGGGGACGTCACGTTTACATTATAACTCTGTTAGGATTGGGGGCTATTTTCGTCTGGTACTTTTATGCACAGTTTTTAAGTATTATTATAGGTTGGTGTCCATGTGAGTCCTGGAGCTATATAGTGGCACAGAAGGCATGCATCAGGTTCTGAGAGGAGACCTAGTGGCAGAGCTCATAACCTTGTTGCTGTCAGTGACATGTTGATGAGTCACCTGCGACCCACAGTGATGCTACATACAGCAGCTCTGAAGCCTGCCCTGTCCTGAGCCAGTCTCACTGACTCCGACACATCTACCCCTATTGCCTCAGTTACTGTATCAATCCACTTCATCTGGGGTCTTTCTCTCCTGTGCTGTCCCTCCACCATTCCGAGCATAATGTCCTTCTCCAAGAATCAGTTCCTCCTGGCAAAGTATGTGAGACAGACCTTCAAAATCCTAGCCTCCAAGGAGAAACTTGGTTTCACCCTCTTCAAGACAGACCTATTTGTTTTCTTGGTGGTCCATGATATGTTTATAACCTATTGGCTGTTCACTGAGAGAAGGTTGTGTACTGTTCACAGAGTAGCTGCCACTGATGTAAACACTGTTGCTAATGAAATATACAAATATAATTTTGCTCACACACTAGTAACGGCTAAGACAACTGAAGGCATTTACACTAATGAGGCCTCCACGCCAACCACTCACAAGAACTGGAGTACAGGGATAAGACTGATCCAAGAACGAATACATTCTAGATATTCTCCCAAGATTACCAAAGCTATTGAAGTATATTGTTCTAGAAAATGCCCAAGGTTTTAAAGTATCTTCAGCAAAAGACCTGTTGATACAAATAACAGAAACCTGTAGCTTTCAGTACCAAGAATTCCCATAATCTCCAACCTCTCCTGGCATTCCAAATTCCAGGCTGTGTTATTTCTTATTGCAAAGCTTTACCTATCCAAGGCCTTAATATCAAGAGAAGTCTCCAAAAGTGGACCTGAGAATTCACAAAAAACATGAAATAGATACAGAAAACTGAAGAAAAGAAAATGGAATTAAAAAATTTGCCTTGATAATGTATAATGTTCTGGAAAAGAGGCCATACTTTTCATGTCACCCAACTGTGGCATTTGTTACAGCAGCACTACTGTTGAGGTTTTTATGTGCAATGAGTTGGCAATGACCCATAGCTGACCCTCTAGGGGGGTTTCTGAGGCAGTTAATCACACAGGTTTGCCCACCCTTTTCCCCACAGAGCAACTGGTGAACTTGAACCACATGCCTTCAGGACCGCAGCACACTTTTTTTTTTATTGTATTATTTTTACATGTACCATCAAATCAGATCTGACTGGTACAGGAGGAGACTGCCCCCTCCTTCTCCAGCAGAGCATCTGATGGATTTGAACCGCGTACCTCATGAATGTAGGAAAATTAGAAATTGTTAACAAAGAAATGGAACGCATAAATA